CAGAAAGCCGGTAATGCCCGGAGATTATTTCAGTTGATCCGTACGAACGGTCCCCGGAAACCATCTGTGAGTGAAACCATCAAGCATCAGAATGGAACCACAATCTCGAATGAAGAACGCATCGACCTGTATGCTGAATACTTCGAACAACAACTGTCATGGCCACCAGCGGGCATTCACCTAAAGCCCAGAGGTGAAGTAGAACCCTGGACGGTGAACGTGGAACCACCTACGGCCTCGGAGGTGGTGACATCGATTAGCAGTCTCTTCACCAGGCGTAGTGGGGATCACGCGGTCCCCATCCTGGAAGGCGAGTAGCACCGACAGCAACCAAGCGTTTCGTAATCTCCTCCAAATCCCCCTGCCAGTTCAAAATTTGGCTACTCTCCGCTCCTGAATTAAGCACCGAACACACCACTGTCTTGGATAAACGGTGGTCCGGCATACGCCATACATGGCCTAACCGACGTAACTTCTGGGGCTCGATACATTTTTCAATGGAATTTCCCGTTGCACAACCGGAAACACGCTTTCTAATTGCCTCGTTGCTGATTCTCCGACACCAACTAACACGAGATATGGTCCTGAGACAATGAGTTGGCAACACCGGAAGACGTCTCAATTCCGCTGCTTGAACAGGCTGTCTCACAGCCATACAACAAAACAGCCTGTACTGTAACCTGAAGCACATGTCCATTGAGATTCAGTGATACACCACTCTGACGCCATAGGTGTTTCCAATTAGCAAACGCTACCCCAGCCCTACAATCAGAACTAATACAACTTCCAAGATATGTAAAATGCTCCACAATTTCCAGTACCTCTCACTGGATTGTAAGTGGTGTGTTCAGTGACTGCACGTCCACGAGCACGACCTTGCACTTCGTGAACGATGTTGCCTGCGTACTCCAGATCGACAAAGTTTACTTTGCAGGCTATTTGAACACCGGAGTTTTGGAGCCTTTCCAGCGTTCGTTTCATTGTATCATCCATCCTGAAGTTAAAAAGGAACGAAGAGGGTGGGCATCCCTAGCGGACACCGCTTTGTCTACGGAAGTTTTTGGAGAGCCCTCGTGTACTCTCACCCGTCCGGAAGTCTGAGAACACAAAGAATGTATTATTTTCACAAACGTCCGAGGCATTCCTTGGTGGGTAAGCGTGTCAAGAACAGACCAGTCAACCGCGTCGAATGCGCCTTGGAAATCCAGGAATACTACAATTATGGGCCGCTTAAACATCTTGCTCATACGTCTTGTTGTAGCAAATGACAGTGTGAGAATTCGGTCAACGCAACCCACATTAGGCCGGAATCCCGCTTGCTGCTCTCGAGTCAGTGCTGGGTCAAGGGTGAAAAACCTGTTTTCCAAGCTTTGTTCTGCTGCTCTCCAGTGCTGGGTCAAGGGTGAAAAACCTGTTTTCCAAGCTTTGTTCAAACAGGGCATAAGTAAGAATTAAGTCTCCACGGACGGAGGGGTACTCCAGGGGAAAGAGATCAAGCATTGCGAAACGCGTTTCGTAGTCCACGGATTTGAGGCCGGCAACCATTCTCATAGCAGCTCGCTGGACACGCTCAATGAGGGTGACGTCTTTCGTGCGTCCTGAGTAGACAAATTGGTTGGCGTACTCCAGGAGCGGCCTGACGTAGGCCCCATAGAGCGTTTGGAAGTCCATGTGAGTAATACGAGAGAAGGTGCGTCGGATCATCCGTAGAATGGCGAATGCATTTTAAGCCGATTTCTCATGGTGCGGTGAGAAAGACAAGTTTGAGAAGACCCAGATGCCCAAATCCTTTTTGGCATCTATCCTCATGATGTTTTCTGGTCCTTTCTCACCATGCATTACAAAGGCATTCGCTGAATCACCTCCAACCGACATATGGACGCATTTTTCATCATTCAAAGGAAGGGGCCAGTCCAACGACCACTGATTGGCAGCGTCTACATCCATTTGGAGGGCACTGGCATTGGAACTCCAGGATTTCAAGTCGTCCGCAAAAAGTAGAGATGGACTTGCAAGAACATCTGGGAGGTCGTTGACGTAGATTAGTAACAGCACTGGTCCCAGGACGGAGCCTTGAGGAATTCCAATGGAAACCGGCGCTGGAGAAGAGTAGGTCGAGCTTATTCTCACTCGGAATGATCGGTCTGATAGGGACGCCTTGATCCAGCGAAAGATTTTCCCTTGAATCCCGTAAGACTCGAGTTTGTGGAGCAGCGGGACGTGTGGGACCCTATCAAATGCTTTTGAGAAGTCGAAAAATATGCCATCCGATTTGAGTCCTTCGTCCTTGGCTTGGGTCAAGCCGTCCATAAACACGAGCATGTTTGCCGACGCAAGAGCGGTT